ACTCCCTACCCTCCTCCAGCAGGCTGGAGGGAGTCTGATCACTCCCTACCCTCCTCCAGCAGGCTGGAGGGAGTCTGATCACTCCCTACCCTCCTCCAGCAGGCTGGAGGGAGTCTGATCACTCCCTACCCTCCTCCAGCAGGGTGGAGGGAGTCTGATCACTCCCTACCCTCCTCCAGCAGGCTGGAGGGAGTCTGATCACTCCCTACCCTCCTCCAGCAGGCTGGAGGGAGTCTGATCACTCCCTACCCTCCTCCAGCAGGGTGGAGGGAGTCTGATCACTCCCTACCCTCCTCCAGCAGGCTGGAGGGAGTCTGATCACTCCCTACCCTCCTCCAGCAGGCTGGAAGGAGTCTGACCACTCCCTACCCTCCTCCAGCAGGCTGGAAGGAGTCTGACCACTCCCTACCCTCCTCCAGCAGGCTGGAAGGAGTCTGACCACTCCCTACCCTCCTCCAGCAGGCTGGAGGGAGTCTGACCACTCCCTACTCTCCTCCTACAGGCTGGAAGAGGCCCGAGAGAGTGGAGGCAGCACCGGGGTTATTTTCAGTGAGGGTTCATGCAATATGTGAAGAATAGCTGATGATGGAGGGTGGCGAGGCTGGGGCTGAGGTCTGCAACTATCATCAGCTCCCTCTTTCTGGCCTGCTCATCTCTGCCAATTATAGTCACTTGTCAGTCAGCCAGACAGTCAGCCACCTTTCCTATCAGCGAGTCAGCCATGTTTCCTGCTGGACCCACAGCAGCCACCCAGAAACGCCAGCAACTAGTCAGCTGTCGAGTCACTCTTACAACTTGTCCAGTTATCTAGCCAGTTAACAACTCAACCACAACTGAACCAGTCAGTCAACCTGCCATTTAATTATTCAGCCAGTTGATAAACCAACTACTCTGACAGATAACAATTAGCTATTTAGTCAAACAGTCACTTGTATATTCAACCTACTAGTCAGCCAACCAGACAGGTAAATAGCCAGACATTTAACCGTTAAACCAGTCAGTAATTTAACAAATGAATCAGCCTACCAGTTACCCGGTTAACCAGCCCACCAGTCATCCATTCAACAGAAATATTAAATAGACGAACAAGTATGTATTTTCGAGCAAACTCTCGATATAATTTGATCAGTACAAGCAATAAAACAGAATTAAAACCTAATGTCATGTGGACTAAATTTGGTATTTGTGATAGATGGCGGTATTTACCGTCGTCTGTAACTCAGGACAGCGTGTGCAAACTGAGTGACAGGACCCCATGTATAAATTATACTCGTGAGAGGACAGAATCCTGGAGAGCGCTTGTTTCCCCTAACTTTTTTGGGGAGGCAGTTGGTATTGCAAAGCACTTGTTTACAGCAACGGTGATCTGAGGGTCGTTCTGAGATACAGGGCGTAAGTGCTCTAGATCTATGTAGGTATATGTGTGTGTGTGTGTGTGTGTGTGTGTGTGTGTGTGTGTGTGTGTGTGTGCGTGTGTGTGTGTGTGCGTGTGTGTGTGTGTGTGTGTGTGCCTAGTTGTCCAGTCAGACCCTAGGATTAAGGCCCATTAGTGCCATTTCTGATTGGCTAGCGAGGGTTTGCAGCAAAGTCTAGCGTGGAATACTAAAACCCAGGAGGTAGGGCCAAGTTGTAGGTCAGGAATGTCACTGTTGCGAGTCGCATAATGTTGCATAATTGCACATTATGCAACACTTAAGAGTGTCAATTGTGTATTACATCAAATTATAAGTGTCTATTGCATATTATTCAACACTACGAGCGTTAAGGTACACTGTTGTGTGGGAACAGTCGCTGGTAGTCAGAGAATCATCTACCAACACACATTTCTCAACCAAGATAGAGCGTGAGTGTGTGCTCTTTAAAGAAGACAGAGTCTCCCCAGTAACCGGGCTGGGGGATACTGGGCAGAGTTTATGGTGAAGTCATTTAAGCAGCTTTTCCAATGTGTGTGTGTTATTTCAATGTATATGTTAGTGGACAGCCTGCCTACCTGCCTGCCTGTCTGTCTGTCTGTCTGCCTGCCTCCCTGCCTGTCTGTCTGTCTGTCTGTCTGCCTGCCTGCCTGTCTGTCTGTCTGTCTGTCTGTCTGCCTGCCTGACTGTCTGCCTGCCTGACTGTCTCTCTGCCTGTTTGCCTAACTGCCTACCTGCCTAACTGTCTACCTAACTGTCTACCTGCCTGCCTACCTGCCTGCCTAACTGTCTACCTGCCTGCCTGCCAAACTGCCTACCTGCCTACCTGCCTGCCTGTCTGCCTGCCTGCCTGCCTGCCTAACTGCCTACCTGCCTGACTGACTGCTCGGCCTAACTGCCTGCCTGCCTGTCTGTCTGTCTGTCTGTCTGTCTGTCTGTCTGCCTGTCTGTCTGCCTGCCTGCCTGACTGACTGCTCGGCCTACCTGCCGGCCTTCCAGCCTGCCTGCTGCAGACTTTCTATAAAGTTGATCGATGATTAAGCAGTGTCCACAGATTGATTGATTGATGAAGATTAAGCCACCCAAGAGGTGGCACGGGCATGAATAGCCCGTAAGTGGTGGCCCTTTCGAGCCATTACCAGTATCAAAAGATGATACTGGAGATCTGTGGAGGCGCAACTGCACCCTGCGTGACGGGAGATGTCTCCCGGACCAAGTGGTGACCAAATGGTGAGTGTCCACAGCTTACCATCACCTTATGTACGTGTGGGTGCTGCCTCTTCCATCCCACTGTACACTGTGCCTGTGTCCACCTGTCTGTGTACACGTGCTTGTGTACACATGTCTGTGTACACGTGCCTGTGTACACCTGTCTGTGCACACGTGCCTGTGTCCACCTGTCTGTGTACACGTGCTTGTGTACACATGTCTGTGTACACGTGCCTGTGTACACCTGTCTGTGCACACGTGCCTGTGTACACCTGTCTGTGCACACGTGCCTGTGTACACCTGTCTGTGTACACGTGCCTGTGTCCACCTGTCTGTGTACACGTGTCTGTGTACACCTGTCTGTGCACACGTGCCTGTAACACTTGTCTGTGTACACGTGCCTGTGTCCACCTGTCTGTGTACACGTGTCTGTGCACACGTGCCTGTGTACACCTGTCTGTGTACACGTGCCTGTGTCCACCTGTCTGTGCACACGTGCCTGTGTACACCTGTCTGTGCACACGTGCCTGTGTACACCTGTCTGTGTACACTTGTCTGTGTACACGTGCCTGTGTCCACCTGTCTGTGCACACGTGCCTGTGTACACCTGTCTGTGTACACGTGTCTGTGTACACGTGCCTGTGTACACCTGTCTGTGTACACTTGTCTGTGTACACGTGCCTGTGTCCACCTGTCTGTGTACACGTGTCTGTGTACACGTGCCTGTGTACACCTGTCTGTGTACACCTGTCTGTGTACACGTGCCTGTGTCCACCTGTCTGTGTACACGTGTCTATGTACACCTGTCTGTGTACACGTGTCTATGTACACGTGTCTGTGTACACCTGTCTGTGTACACGTGTCTGTGTACACCTGTCTGTGTACACGTGTCTGTGTACACCTGTCTGTGTACACGTGTCTGTGTACACGTGCCTGTGTACACCTGTCTGTGAACACGTGTCTATGTACACCTGTCTGTGTACACGTGTCTGTGTACACCTGTCTGTGTACACGTGCCTGTGTACACCTGTCTGTGTACACGTGTCTGTGTACACGTGCCTGTGTACACCTGTCTGTGCACACGTGCCTGTGTACACCTGTCTGTGCACACGTGCCTGTGTACACCTGTCTGTGTACACGTGTCTGTGTACACCTGTCTGTGTACACGTGTCTGTATACACGTGCCTGTGTACACCTGTCTGTGCACACGTGCCTGTGTACACCTGTCTGTGAACACGTGTCTGTGTACACCTGTCTGTGTACACGTGCCTGTGTACACCTGTCTGTGCACACGTGCCTGTGTACACCTGTCTGTGCACACGTGCCTGTGTACACCTGTCTGTGCACACGTGCCTGTGTACACGTGTCTGTGTACACGTGTCTATGTACACCTGTCTGTGTACACGTGTCTGTGTACACGTGCCTGTGTACACCTGTCTGTGCACACGTGCCTGTGTACACCTGTCTGTGCACACGTGCCTGTGTATACCTGTCTGTGTACACGTGTCTGTGTACACCTGTCTGTGTACACGTGCCTGTGTACACCTGTCTGTGTACACGTGCCTGTGTACACCTGTCTGTGTACACGTGTCTGTGTACACGTGCTTGTTGTTGGTTGCAAGGTCTACAAAACCCTTAGTACATGTGCTGGAATGAGCTTCAGCTTTGGTGTTTCCGAAGATTTCGCGGGTGGAGAATCCAGCGTTCCCTCGGGCTTCAACAAACTGCTGGCAGATATCTTCATATTTATAGGAAGATATCTGTTGCCAGCCTTGAGGAGTAACTTGAGTAAAGTTTGTTGTTACAAACATGGAGAGTTGTTATGGCTTAATGTTAAAATATCACACACAGTGGTTTTCCTACATGATGCTTATACGTACTGTTAGGAGTTAATGTTGATCAAACCACACACACTAGAAATTTAATGTTATTAGGAGTTAATGTTATTATTTATGTTGAAATAATGTTAGGGGGTGTGTAATGTGGATGTTCCTGTGATCACACAGGAGAGACGAAGATCACACTTCATGAATCTACACTATACAGCACAATTCCCTGGCTTTCATAGAGTAGTCGTCAGTACATAATAAAGATAACAAAAAAAAAAACAGACGGTAAGATAACGACAGTTAACTTGTAGTTAAGATCTCTTACTATCAGATTCCCCATTGGGTGGTTAAGGGCACCTGAAACGTAAGAGTGATCAGAGATGATGACAGATTCTATTTAGAATTCAATCCTTGATAAAAGCGAATCTTCCGGCAGTCGTGACTACAGAATACAGCGTCACTACTGACAACTTTTGTAACACATTTGTATCAGCAACACGCGCAAAAATTTTACTGGCTTATCTTAACATGGAAGCAACACGAAGCCATTTTAAACTACTTGAATTCTAAATATTCCCGTGGAAAATAATACGTTGATTTCCACCTCGTCCTCCCCAGACACTTTGAATTCTACCTCGTCCTCCGCAGACACTTTGACTTCCATCTCGTCCTCCAGAGACACTTTGACTTCCACCTCGTCCTCCCCAGACACTTTGACTTCCACCTCGTCCTCCGCAGACACTTTGACTTCCACCTCGTCCTCCCCAGACACTTTGACTTCCACCTCGTCCTCCCCAGACACTTTGACTTCCACCTCGTCCTCCCCAGACACTTTGACTTCCACTTCGTCCTCCGCAGACACTTTGACTTCCACCTCGTCCTCCGCAGACACTTTGACTTCCACCTCGTCCTCCGCAGACACTTTGACTTCCACCTCGTCCTCCCCAGACACTTTGACTACCACCTCGTCCTCCCCAGACACTTTGACTTCCACCTCGTCCTGCCCCGACACTTTGACTTCCACCTCGTCCTCCCAAGAGTGGTCTTCAAACACAAGAAACATTTACATGTTTTGAAATTTCAAGAAGTATTCACAGCGAATACAATGCACTATTCATGGCGTGTTTACAAAATGTATTTTATGAATTAATCTTTTTACTGCATTCGCGAGAGAACAAAAATAACAAACTATTAATTCGTGAAATAAGCACTAAACACTTATTAAATGATAATTTTGTATTATTGTCCAGTGAAACTGAAGGTAAGAGGGTTCATATATATATATATATATATATATATATATATATATATATATATATATATATATATATATATATATATATATATATATATATATATATATATATATATATATATATATATATATATATATATACACACATATATATATATATATATATATATATATATATATATATATATATATATATATATATATATATATATATATATATATATATGATAATATTTCATAAAGTACAGCACTTTCGCCGACGCGGACTGGCCTATGATACTCCCCTCCCTTCATGTTACATGTGTCAAAGTTGGGTGACACTATCCTCAATATTTGGCCTCCTACGTCGGGCCGACAAACATTCCATATAGAACAAATCCACAGGGGCCGTGATGAGGGTTCGAACTTATGCCCGGGATGATCCCAGATGCGCCTTAGTCGACACTGTCACGACATGGTAAAAAGAATTACATCCTGGAGTGCAATTGCTCTCACACGTGGATTTGTTCACTTGATGCATCACGCTATTGTGATTTCTGTGTGTAGTCCATATAGATATACTTTGCTTTTCCAGTTATTATTATATGTTATATATTTTTCTGAAGTAATTGTGTGATCATATAACAAAATGAACTTTAATCATTCAGATACAAAATCCGTTCAGTGCACCTCTGATGGGGAATATATTATTGCAATTGGCGTTATTTTTCGTTACAGAATATGACTTATTGTGTTGAGTGAATGTTGGTTTGTGTTGAGTGAATGTTGGTTTGTGTTGAGTGAATGTTGGTTTGTGATGAGTGAATGTTGGTTTGTGTTGAGTGAATGTTGGTTTGTGTTGAGTGAATGTTGGTTTGTGTTGAGTGAATGTTGGTTTGTGATGAGTGAATGTTGGTTTGTGTTGAGTGAATGTTGGTTTGTGTTGAGTGAATGTTGGTTTGTGTTGAGTGAATGTTGGTTTGTGTTGAGTGAACGTTGGTTTGTTGTGCTGAGTGAATGTTGGTTTGTGTTGAGTGAATGTTGGTTTGTGTTGAGTGAATGTTGGTTTGAGTGAATTTGGTTTGTGTTGAGTGAATGTTGGTTTGAGTGAATGTTGGTTTGTGTTGAGTGAATGTTGGTTTGTGTTGAGTGAATGTTGGTTTGAGTGAATGTGTTGAGTGAATGTTGGTTTGTGTTGAGTGAATGTTGGTTTGTTGTGTGAGTGAATGTTGGTTTGTGTTGAGTGAATGTTGGTTTGTGTTGTGTGTTGAGTGAATGTGAGTGAATGTTGGTTTGTGTTGAGTGAATGTTGGTTTGTTGTGTTGAGTGAATGTTGGTTTGTGTTGAGTGAATGTTGGTTTGTGTTGAGTGAATGTTGGTTTGTTGTGTTGAATGTTGGTTTGTTGAGTGAATGTTGGTTTGTGTTGAGTGAATGTTGGTTTGTTGTGTTGAGTGAATGTTGGTTTGTGTTGAGTGAATGTTGGTTTGTGTTGAGTGAATGTTGGTTTGTGTTGAGTGAATGTGGTTTGTGTTGAGTTGGTTTGTTGTGTTGAGTGAATGTTGGTTTGTTGTGTTGAGTGAATGTTGGTTTGTTGTGTTGAGTGAATGTTGGTTGTGTTGAGGGAATGTTGGTTTGTGTTGAGTGAATGTTGGTTTGTGTTGAGGGAATGTTGGTTTGTGTTGAGTGAATGTTGGTTTGTGTTGAGTGAATGTTGGTTTGTTGTGTTGAGTGAATGTTGGTTTGTTGTGTTGAGTGAACGTTGGTTTGTTGTGCTGAGTGAACGTTGGTTTGTGTTGAGTGAATGTTGGTTTGTGTTGAGTGAATGTTGGTTTGTGTTGAGTGAATGTTGGTTTGTGTTGAGTGAATGTTGGTTTGTTGTGTTGAGTGAATGTTGGTTTGTGTTGAGTGAATGTTGGTTTGTGTTGAGTGAATGTTGGTTTGTTGTGTTGAGTGAATGTTGGTTTGTTGTGTTGAGTGAATGTTGGTTTGTGTTGAGTGAATGTTGGTTTGTTGTGCTGAGTAAACGTTCGTTTATTGTGTTGAATGGACGTTGGTTTATTGTGTTGAGTGAATGTTGGTTTGTGTTGAGTGAATGTTGGTTTGTTGCGTTGAGTGAATGTTGGTTTGTGATGAGTGAATGTTGGTTTGTTGTGTTGAGTGAATGTTGGTTTGTGTTGAGTGAATGTTGGTTTGTGTTGAGTGAATGTTGGTTTGTTGTGCTGAGTGAACGTTAGTTTATTGTGTTGAATGGACGTTGGAACAACAATACCTGCCAACACCCACCATGAATAACATCAACACCTGCCAACACCTGTAAAACATTACCTGGTGACGCCCCAGCACACAGCTTTAACAGCAATTCATTACTTCTTGTTGTATAATATTCGCTACTTGGAACAAAAAGTTCCAAGAAGCACGGGCTATGGTGATCCCGTAGACTGTCTTAATTCATTACTAAGACATGACAGCAAGATGGGTAAACAGCTAGAGTTCCTACCTTACTCCTGGACTCTTTACACCTCGCGACGGCCGGTGAAATGTCTGAAGATCCTGTGGAGGAAAGAGGTTGAGATCTTAATTAAATCATAATTAATGAACCACAGAAAACAACGAGGTCATTGACGCTAAAGAAAATATGATACACACTTACATAAATACATACAAAAATGATTAAAAATATTGAACAAGTACTCATAAAGTTACTTCAAAGTAATTCAAAGGGAGCGTCTATAAAGTAATATCTCACTCACCCAGACCTAAATCTCACTCAGAGTGAAATATGTGAGACAGTTATCCTTAAAGGCCTCAAGAGCTTGATAGTGGTAGAAATATTAGCGTAGGGTACACTCACAGTGGTGTACCAACGTAGGGTACACTCACAGTGGTGTACCAACGTAGGGTACACTCACAGTGGTGTACCAACGTAGGGTACACTCACAGTGGTGTACCAACGTAGGGTACACTCACAGTGGTGTACCAACGTAGGGTACACTCACAGTGGTGTACCAACGTAGGGTACACTCACAGTGGTGTACCAACGTAGGGTACACTCACAGTGGTGTACCAACGTAGGGTACACTCACAGTGGTGTACCAACGTAGGGTACACTCACAGTGGTGTACCAACGTAGGGTACACTCACAGTGGTGTACCAACGTAGGGTACACTCACAGTGGTGTACCAACGTAGGGTACACTCACAGTGGTGTACCAACGTAGGGTACACTCACAGTGGTGTACCAACGTAGGGTACACTCGCTGCTAGTGTACCACAATCTACGACCACTTCTATTATAACATAAAAATGATAGAACATCGCATCAGGATTGTTGGCCCACAGTAGGCAGGTCCAGTTTAAATAAATCCACCCTCCTTCACTCACATGCGCACCCAATTCATTCTAAACAGAGAGGAATAGAAGGTGTACAGCTGGGTTTCAAGGTAGAGGGAGAAAAATGAATGTATAGTTGACCTGCTGGGCGAGAGAGGGTGTAGAGTTGCACTTATCCCTAATCCAGTTAACTGCGATACTGCAATTTAAGGAGATACGCACTTGCGTATCTCCTTCTGAGCTGCCAGTATCTTCTGTACGCATACAGGCGGTCCTGCAGGGCGTAGGTGGGTGGTAACGTGACTTTCCTGTGAACCTAAACCTTCCCTCAGACTTTCCTTGCCAGGAAACAAATCCTCCCATAGCTTCTGGCTGGAAATTCCTCCTTTTCTCGCGAGTAGCCTTTATCATCTGTCCCTTTTTCTCTCAAACGATAAAATCCACCCTATTCCTTTCCTCGCAACCGGCAAAAACATTTTCTTTCATATCTGGCTTCGCGAATGACAATAAATTCGACGCGTGTCTAGTCCAGTGAATATGACCAAGTATAGTCCAGTGAATATGATCAAGTCTAGTCCAGTGAATATGACCAAGTCTAGTCCAGTGAATATGATGAAGTCTAGTCGAGTGAATATGACCAAGTCTAGTCCAGTGAATATGATCAGGTCTAGTTCAGTGAATATGACCAAGTCTAGTCCAGTGAATATGATCAAGTCTAGTCCAGTGAATATGACCAAGTCTAATCCAGTGAATATGACCAAGTCTAATCCAGTGAATATGACCAAGTCTAATCCAGTGAATATGACCAAGTCTAATCCAGTGAATATGACCAAGTCTAATCCAGTGAATATGATCATGTCTAGTCCAGTGAATATGATCATGTCTAGTCCAGTGAATATGACCATGTCTAGTCCAGTGAATATGACCAAGTCTAGTCCAGTGAATATGACCAAGTCTAGTCCAGTGAATATGATCATGTCTAGTCCAGTGAATATGACCAAGTCTAGTCCAGTGAATATGACCAAGTCTAATCCAGTGAATATGACCAAGTCTAATCCAGTGAATATGATCATGTCTAGTCCAGTGAATATGATCAAGTCTAGTCCAGTGAATATGATCATGTCTAGTCCAGTGAATATGACCAATGTTCATGAGAAGTCACTTTCCCCTAACTCTCCTCTTCTTGTTCGACTCCTCTCCCTTCCCACATCCTTTCCTCCCCCCTTCCTATGCCTCCCCTTCTCGTGTCATCCATTATGTGCCCCTCATCCATAGACCGTACATTTATCATCCATTCTCTCTGCTCCCTCCAGTTGTCGTCTATCATTCGCCCGCCGTGACCATTATCAACGGTACCATTCACTGGAATTAACTAATTCCTCACGATGTATTCATCATTCCTCATGGTGTATTCATCATTCCTTACGGTGTATTCATCATTCCTCAAGATGTATTCATCATTCCTTACGGTGTATTCATCCTTCCTCACGATGTATTCCTCATTCCTCACGATGTATTCCTCATTCCTCATGGTGTATTCATCATTCCTTACGGTGTATTCATCATTCCTCAAGATGTATTCATCATTCCTCATGGTGTATTCATCATTCCTTACGGTGTATTCATCATTCCTCAAGATGTATTCATTATGCCTCACGGTGTATTCATCCTTCCTCACGATGTATTCCTCATTCCTCATGGCGTATTCATCATTCCTCATGGTGTATTCATCATTCCTCGGGATATATTCCTCATTCCTCATGGTGTATTCATCATTCCTCATGGTGTATTCATCATTCCTCATGGTGTATTCATTATTCCTCAGGATGTATTCATCATTCCTCAGGGTGTATTCATCATTCCTCACGGTGTATTCATCATTCATCACGATGTATTCATCATGCCTCACGATGTATACATCATTCCTCACGATGTATTCATCATTCCTCTCGATGTATTAATCATTCCTCAGGATGTATTCATCATTCCTCCCGATGTTTTCATCATTTTTATCACTTTTTAACATGTCATTCTTCAATGTTTATTATCTCTCTAAATTTATATTTGTTGGTTGATTATCGTTTCTTTTTTGTAATTCATTTGTTATTAATGGATTTCTTTTAGATAATATGGCTGCTGTCTCCTCTCGCTTCCTCCTTTATCATGTTTGTTCTCTTCTTATCCTCTAGTGCCTTATTATCCACATCTTTATCACCATTCCATCCGTCTTAATGTTATTTTTGCTTCTAGTTGGTGCTTTTTCTAGACCCACTTTGTCTCTATATTGTGGCTCGTCTATAGAGCCTCCGGAGACGCGGCTCTGTTTAATTCTCTTCTCTCCGAGTCACTACGGGCTCACCATAGCCCGTGCTACTTGGAACTTTTTGATCCAGGTAGCGAGTCTTAAACAACAACAACACCTCTCTGAGTCTATTTATCTAGCACCTTCAGTACTCCGTTACCCTCTTCTTTCTCCTCCTCTACTTCCTTCTCCTCCACCTCCTACTCCAAATCTTCTTCCTCCTCCTCCTCGTCTTAGTCATGCTACTATGATGAACACACACCCAGGGCCTCCCCCGGGGTGATGAGTCGCACGACTGTAGGAGCAACTCATCGTTAGCAGTGGCTGGTACCCCATCACTGGTGGCTGGTACCCCATCACTAGTGGCTGGTACCCCATCACTGGTGACTGGTACCCCATCACTAGTGGCTGGTACCCCATCACTGGTGACTGGTACCCCATCACTGGTGGCTGGTACTCCGTCACTGGTGGCTGGTACCCCATCACTAGTGGTTGGTACCCCATCACTGGTGGCTGGTACCTCATCACTGGTGGCTGGTACCCCATTACTAGTGGCTGGTACCCCATCACTAGTGGTTGGTATCCCATCACTGGTGGCTGTTACCCCATCACTAGTGGCTGGTACCCCATCACTGGTGGCTGGTACCCCATCACTGGTGACTGGTACCCCATCACTGGTGGCTGGTACCCCATCACTGGTGGCTGGTACCCCATCACTGGTGACTGGTACCCCATCACTGGTGGTTGGTACCCCATCACTGGTGGTTGGTACCCCATCACTGGTGGCTGGTACCCCATCACTAGTGGCTGGTACCCCATCACCAGTGGCTGGTACCCCATCACTGGTGGCTGGTACCCCATCATCAGTGGCTGGCACCATCACTAGTGACTGGTACCTCATCACTGGTGGCTGGTAACCCATCACTGGTGGCTGGTACCCCATCACTGGTGGCTGGTACCCCATCACTGGTCGCTGGTACCTCATCACTGGTGGCTAGTACCCCCATCACAGGTGGCTGGTACCCCATCACTAGTGGCTGGTACCCCATCACTAGTGGCTGGTACCCCATCACTAGTGGCTAGTACCCCATCACTGGTGGCTGGTACCCCATCACCAGTGGCTGGTACCCCATCACTAGTGGCTGGTACCCCATCACTAGTGGCTAGTACCCCATCACTGGTGGTTGGTACCCCATCACTAGTGGCTGGTACCCCATCACTAGTGGCTGGTACCTCATCACTAGTGGCTGGTACCCCATCGCCAGTGGCTGGTACCCCATCACTAGTAGCTAGTACCCCATCACTGGTGGTTGGTACCCCATCACTAGTGGCTGGTACCCCATCACTGGTGGTTGGTACCCCATCACTAGTGGCTGGTACCCCATCACCAGTGGCTGGTACCCCATCACTGGTGGCTGGTACCCCATCACTAGTGGCTGGTACCCCATCACCAGTGCATCATCTGGTACCCCATCACTAGTGGCTGGTACCCCATCACTAGTGGCTGGTACCCCATCACTGGTGGTTGGTACCCCATCACTAGTGGCTGGTACCCCCATCACTAGTGGCTGGTACCCCATCACCAGTGGCTGGTACCCCATCACTGGTGGCTGGTACCCCATCATCAGTGGCTGGCACCATCACTAGTGACTGGTACCTCATCACTGGTGGCTGGTAACCCATCACTGGTGGCTGGTACCCCATCACTGGTGGCTGGTACCCCATCACTGGTCGCTGGTACCTCATCACTGGTGGCTAGTACCCCCATCACAGGTGGCTGGTACCCCATCACTAGTGGCTGGTACCCCATCACTAGTGGCTGGTACCCCATCACTAGTGGCTAGTACCCCATCACTGGTGGCTGGTACCCCATCACCAGTGGCTGGTACCCCATCACTAGTGGCTGGTACCCCATCACTAGTGGCTAGTACCCCATCACTGGTGGTTGGTACCCCATCACTAGTGGCTGGTACCCCATCACTAGTGGCTGGTACCCCATCACTAGTGGCTGGTACCCCATCGCCAGTGGCTGGTACCCCATCACTAGTAGCTAGTACCCCATCACTGGTGGTTGGTACCCCATCACTAGTGGCTGGTACCCCATCACTGGTGGTTGGTACCCCATCACTAGTGGCTGGTACCCCATCACCAGTGGCTGGTACCCCATCACTGGTGGCTGGTACCCCATCACTAGTGGCTGGTACCCCATCACCAGTGCATCATCTGGTACCCCATCACTAGTGGCTGGTACCCCATCACTAGTGGCTGGTACCCCATCACTGGTGGTTGGTACCCCATCACTAGTGGCTGGTACCCCCATCACTAGTGGCTGGTACCCCATCACCAGTGCATCATCTGGTACCCCATCACCAGTGGCTGGTACCCCATCACCAGTGGCTGGTACCCCATCACCAGTGCATCATCTGGTACCCCATCACCAGTGGCTGGTACCCCATCACCAGTGGCTGGTACCCCATCACCAGTGGCTGGTACCCCATCACTAGTAGCTAGTACCCCATCACTGGTGGTTGGTACCCCATCACTAGTGGCTGGTACCCCATCACCAGTGGCTGGTACCCCATCACCAGTGGCTGGTACCCCATCACCAGTGGCTGGTACCCCATCACTAGTGGCTGGTACCCCATCACCAGTGGCTGGTACCCCATTCTTCCCCCAGACGCTGATGATCAGCTTGGATACAATTGGTGACATTTTTTCTACCGTTGTGAGTCAAAGAATTAGACAATCCGTCATTGTTTGATTCTTTGTCTCTTGGTTTATTTTTCTTTGAGAAGACGTTGCTAATAAGGTGACTTCAGAGGTGCTCCTCCAGAGGATGCATCTTCGCCTTGTTCTACCGCGTTGATTGACTCATAAAGATTAAGCCACCCAAGAGGTGGCACGGGCATGAATAGCCCGTAAGTGGTAGATATTTGGGAGTGATTGTTGGTCTTTGGTCCTGACCGAATCGCGTTCTTTCATGATTGTATTAATAATAGGCACATTTCTGCACCACACTGTTCTGGGGGTTATTCATACTGCACCACACTTTTCTGGTGGTAATTCATACTGCACCACACTGTTCTGGTAGTAATTCATACTGCACCACACTGTTCTGGTGGTAATTCATACTGCACCACACTGTTCTGGTGGTAATTCATACTGCACCACACTGTTCTGGTGGTAATTCATACTGCACCACACTGTTCTGGTGGTAATTTATACTGCACCACACTGTTCTGGTGGTAATTCATACTGCACCACACTGTTCTGGTGGTAATTCATACTGCACCACACTGTTCTGGTGGTAATTTATACTGCACCACACTGTTCTGGTAGTAATTCATACTGCACCACACTGTTCTGGTAGTAATTCATACTGCACCACACTGTTCTGGTAGTAATTCATACTGCACCACACTGTTCTGGTAGTAATTCATACTGCACCACACTGTTCTGGTAGTAATTCATACTGCACCACACTGTTCTGGTAGTAATTCATACTGCACCACACTGTTCTGGTGGTAATTCATACTGCACCACACTGTTCTGGTAGTAATTCATACTGCACCACACTGTTCTGGTAGTAATTCATACTGCACCACACTGTTCTGGTGGTAATTCATACTGCACCACACTGTTCTGGTGGTAATTTATACTGCACCACACTGTTCTGGTGGTAATTCATACTGCACCACACTGTTCTGGTAGTAATTCATACTGCACCACACTGTTCTGGTGGTAATTCATACTGCACCACACTGTTCTGGTGGTAATTCATACTGCACCACACTGTTCTGGTGGTAATTCATACTGCACCACACTGTTCTGGTGGTAATTCATACTGCACCACACTGTTCTGGTGGTAATTCATACTGCACCACACTGTTCTGGTGGTAATTCATACTGCACCACACTGTTCCATTCCCTTGAACTCTCTCGAGGTTTTGAATGAATTCACAAAACACAAACACAATTACTCGTAAACATGAGCTCTGTTGGCTTTTGTTTTTTGGCGTAATTCATTACACAAAAGGAAGGAGGGGGAGGGGGGGGGGATTATTTTTGTACATTTTCTTTATCTTTTTTTATACAATTTGTTGTTTAGCTTTCTGAAATATTTTGTAACTATTATAGACTGTGGGTTGGTTGGTGTTGTCGTCGTTGATCCTTCTCTACGGACAACCAAACCCACAACTCGGTAGAGTGCTTATACTAGGAGATCACCCTTGGCGCTTCTGGCTCTTGGAGAGGGGCTCAACGTCACACGTTTAGGGGATGCGGCTCCAACACTTAGCCTCGTTGTCACGTGCACACACCCACTCGAGCCGCTGTGACTCCCCACTCTCTCCTTATGAGATATGATCTCCTCAATCCCCTATGACTTACTAGTATTACCTCCTACCCTGTCCACAGCAGTGGTTCTTGGTTCTTTCTCTCTCTCTCTCTCTCCTTCTTTACTACCTCCTGGGAAGCCTCACTAGGACAAGGGCAAACACCAGCAAATTGGGATACATTTACTGGACAAAGCACATACACGATACATACACACATATAATAATAATGAATCCTATACTCTATAA